CTGCTAGATCTGCCTCTTTCTGCCTCTTTTCTAACTTTTGCACGTACAATATAAAAGTCCCCCCACTTTATCTATTTATTCTAACCTAATATCTCAATTACTCCTCTCACCCCTCAACTCATATCACACCCTCATTAAACCTCTATTTATTATTTAATTTTTAATTCAAATAATACTCTAAATCAATTAAAATAATAATTATCTAATTATCCTAATAACTCAATCATATTAATAAAAATAATAATTCTATTATTCTCACTAAATCTAACTACACCCTCGAATCTTACTCATCTAACCCTTTACTCTTTAGTTTTAAATAAAATTATATTTTATCCCAACTCTAAAATATCTCTAATTTTCATAATATTTCTAATATCTAATAAAATGAAATAAAATAAATTAATATAAATTCAATTAAAATTAGATAACTAAAGTTGGGGTGTTACACCAAATACTCACCAATTGTTTCTAAAGGCTAGAGTAATTTTGTTTAGCACTAATATTTCCACTTCTTTGTCTTTGATTCATGTATTTGCTCCTCATCACTTTACACCACAAAGTTTATCTCCCACTTTTGATTTACCATCCTAATTTAGCTAAGCAGGCTTTGTTCATGGCAGAAAGATTCGTTAATTCCAAACCTCCTTGATTTTTAGCTTTTGCAATTTCACTTCATCTTAATGTATGAAGTTGTTTCTTTCCTTTACTACCCCCTCCCCCAAATAAAAGCTCTTTGGCATTTTTGAAACTCCATGATACAACATTTTGGTACAGTCGTAGTCATCATTGTATAAGTTGGAAAACTGATATTTGGATGATTATTTCTCTTGTTGCGGTAGAGGTATTTCTAGAGAACACTACATTAGACTTCCCCATGCTTACTTTTTGACCGGAGACCTGAAAAAAGGTATGCAAAATATCCAAGACATATTGTATTTTTTCATTATAACTATGGTGATAGCTCCAATGAAACTAGTCTGATTTGGAGTGACTATGTTGTCCTTGTGATGTTTCAATCTATTCACAATCACCTTACTAAATATTTTGTAAATGTTGTTACACAATCTAATAGGCCTAAATTGATTTACATTTCGAGGGTTATCCACTTTTGGTATTAAACATAATTTAGTGTTATTTACCTCAGTAAAGTTTGACTCTTGCTTCCACAAGCTCTGAATGAATATGTATACACTTTCATCTATTATGTGCCACGTGATTTGATATAATCTTGTAGGGAATCCATTTGGAAAAGGTCACTTCCAAGCTTCCATATCAAATAAAGCTTGTTTAATTTCTCCATTATGAAGATCTTCCTCCAACTTCCTTGCAATGCTTCTATCCATTATTGGGAATTTGTTCTTTGTGTGAATCCAATCTTCTATTTCAAAATCCAATTTTTCCAAACCACACAATTCACTCTCCCTGTTATGTGTGAGTTCTCAAGTCCAACAAAGAACACCATTCTTTTTTTCTTTATTGGATTCTCAATCTTAAAGAAACAACCACAATTGGATTATTGATATGAGAACTCAATAATTCTCAAAATGTTAATACCTAATAACCCTCATCTCACTAGATCTCACACTCCCTGAGATTTGAGAAACAATCACTAAAAAATAGTGATCCGATAAAGATTAAAAATGGATCAAATCAGATGCAATGTAAAGTTGTGAAAAATGTCCTCTATAAATTTGTTTCTAAGTTTCAAAGATTTGAATATTTTTAGAGTGTTGTGTGTTATTGTTGCAGCAGTATAGCGGCAAACAAAAAGTAAGTTATTAATTTACCGGGTGATATAGGTTATATCGTATTGTATCTACAGAGATTGGTTATTGAATCACCGTTCGACAAATCTCTCGTTAATGAGTTTGGGGATAAATGAGTTGAAAAGAAAAGTATCAACAGAAAATAAATGTAAACAAAAGAAAAAACTAAGGAAGAACTTATCAAGCCTGCATATAATCTACTCATCACAAACTTAAATCTACCGACCAGTTACATTCAACCTAATAACACTCATCAATGTCACTACGTATCACTCACAACCTAAGTCATTTCTAACCCAAATTGAGAGACCGATTGTATCACCAAGAAAATGATCTCTCTACCTCCTCAACAACACAGAAGACAACTATGTAATCGCACTGACGATCTCTCAATACATCATAACCATACAGAGGCATTAAACTCTGATACCCAAGTAGATGTCAGCTCTAAATCTATCTCTAGAGTTCAGAAACTAACATATAATCATCCTAGATAAGAATCTAAGAAGTATATGTCTATAACAACTCAAATTCCTAGCACAAAGCAAAAATCCAGGACAACAATTGATAAAGATTTATAAAGCAAGTTTAATATAACGCTATGGGCGACAAATATACATAAGTTCAGAGTAAATACATGTACAAACTCAACACTTAAAAAATACACAAAGAGGAAGAGAAATGAACCACAAATCTACCGGTTTGTCAATGCTGATTGATGAGTAATCCACCCTAGTCCTATCCAAAAATGAAGGTTGATGGAGTTGGAATAAAAAATACCCAAAACCATACCCAAAAAATATGTTTTTACCCCTAAATAGGAATTTCTGGCTGTCCAGCATCGTCCGACGATCAAAAAGCGTCGCCCAGCGACCAAAAAGCATTTTCCACGCTTCAGCTCGCCCAACGTTGCCCGACGACGGATGACAGAAAGTTGAAAAACCAGCACATCATTCTGCACTGTTTTCATCCATAACTTTTGAATCGTAACTCCGATTTGCGCCCGGTCGGAAATGTTGGAAAGCTTATTCAATGCTATATCTAACAATGCTTAAATATCAATGCTTGGATACCTACAAAAATGATATAAAATCAATTAAACTCAATGATATTTACACGATAACGTAATAAATACACTATAACATAAACTATACTGAATATACACTATAGTTGAGGTTTATTGACAAAAAGCAAACAAATTAAGCATATGAGTGCTAATTATTCACACTCAAATTCACAACAATGTAGCACTCATCAGTTATGAGCTAAAAAGAGAATTTTATTTAAATATATGTTGGAGATTATGCACTGAAAATGAGTTAAATGATACATTTAATTATAGTCAAATGGAAAGATTATGATTCGAGTCAAGTGAGGAAATGATTTGAATTAATAACTTAAAACCTATATTTTCAACATTTGATTCAAGTAAGTGATTCAAGTCAATGATTCGAGTCAAGTAAACTCATGATTCGAGCCACCCAAACAAAAAGCAAAATCTAAAAATTGAATATCAATTGCAATCCAAAACAACCTTTTATGTGATTCCAATCAGGCTTGTGCGGCTTGCGCCTGTTTAGAATCAGGGAAACCTGTGATTTGAATAACTCTGATAGAGGTTAATCCCAATTTTCACATCCATGTCATGATTTGAGTCACACATAAGTCTAATTCGAATAACACTTCCAAAATTGATTTTTTTGAGAAAAATGGAGTGTTCATGACTGAATCGAGAGTTAGTCTATTTGAAATTATGCATTCATGAGTTTCTTGATCCAAGTTTTCAACTAATTGACTTGAACCATTTTGCATCCACTTTTACCTAAGGGTTCGATTTATGCATGCATAATATAATTTAATGAAAATGCTCAATTATAATAGACACGTAATGATCTGACTAAGAGGACACTCAATTACTAAAATTATAATTGATAAAGTAAATGACAATCGACAAGCAGCAAAACGCAAATAAGAAAATCGTATGAGGTCAGAGTAACTTAAGTCTCTCTTTTTTTTACGCTTGACAACTTGCAAAACTTGGATTAGAACTAAGTCAGCATAAGCATTAAGTAAAGTGTGACTAAGGTTTTTCTTCGTGCCCGTGAAACATTGCACCACACCATAGTTATTTAAGATGATATAAATTGATACATTAGATTCATTACAACTTTCTCTTCTTTGACAAAATAAAAAAATATAGATAACAATGGAGTCTAAACTCAAATAACCATCAACCCTAGAAAAATATATAGAGATATATGCTAAAAATAGCTAAATAAAGATATTTACAAAAATAAAAGATCATATCATAAATAAAACAAAGCTATTGGACATGTCAAATTCAATAAATATGTGCAACAACGATGTGAATATTTTTAATGGCAAAACACGATAATTAAGACACACAAAAATATACGGAAGAGGAATAAATGATACTTGAAATAACCAAAATGATGTAAACATGTATATCAGCAAAATTGCAATTAACAATATTTTAAATGCAACATTATGAAGACACATAGAAGCGACAAATTCAATAAATATGTGCAACAACGATGTGAATATTTTTAATGGCAAAACACGATAATTAAGACACACAAAAATATACGGAAGAGGAATAAATGATACTTGAAATAACCAAAATGATGTAAACATGTATATCAGCAAAATTGCAATTAACAATATTTTAAATGCAACATTATGAAGACACATAGAAGCGACAGGATAAAGAAATAAGCATCATCACATTTTTCATCACATAAACAAATCAGATAATAAATCAACCACTTAAGAGATAAGATTTGAAGAAGTCGTACTAATAGACTTGGTAACGAAGTAACTTGTTATACAAGAAATCGTTAATCTATGATAAAATATATTTAAAAAAATAAGAATAGAATCAAAGTTCATTCAGATCAAGATGATCCGAGGATCTCACTTTCCTAAAACACAAACTAATTTCAATCTATAAATCAAATGATAATTACCGTTAAATTTAATAGAGAAAATCAGAGTTTGACTCTTTGCGATTAGGATTGGTGAAAATAAAAAATAAAATAAAAATATAAAACCATAATATTCCCTTTCTTTCTATGCCTTGTTTGTTTCTTCAATTTTCAACAACCCCCAACTCTATGCCTTGTTTGTTTCTTCAATTTTATCTTATAACTCAACCCATTTCATTTCAATCTCATAGTCAGAAACAAACCATATCACAACAAATAACACTCCCAAATGGCATGCTCATCTTCCACCTCTGCTTCTTCCCTCTTATCTCTAAACCCTAATTCATCACTCTTCTCTCCCAAAAAACCTATTTCCACTCTCTCCATCCCTAATTCTCTCCCTAAACCCTTCTCACTCCCTTCACTTTCATTCTCTCGCCCCTCTCCTCTTCAACACTCTTCTCGCCGCAGTTCCTTCCTCGTTAATGCCTCTGTAAGTTCTTCCACCAATTTTCATCAATTCTGTTTCGAAAATTTCTGCATTGTTATAAACGTTACTGTTGTTGCTTTCTCTAGTTTATTGCCGTGTGGGTTTTCCCTCAATCTTAATTCTGAAACCTTGTTTGTTAACTAATATCAATTGATAATTGAATTCATAGATATGCTACTTGTTTATGTATGTTATTTTCATTTGAGCAACTCATTTAGTACATTTGGGTATTTTTAAGCAACGAGTATTGCAAAATTTGGCTATATATTTTTGGTACATGTGTGTTGTTGGGATTTTTGTCTTTAATCTTAGGGTATGATTGGATTCGTGGTATGTGATAGAATGAAATTGAGTGAAGTTGTAAGTAATCAGATTCCATTGCTTGGATTGACTTTTTTGGACTTGATGGAAGCACGCAAACTTATGAAAACAACTTATAACATATGTTTATTTGTTTGTTTTTAGCTTATTTCCACAAATCTCCAAGATAGCTTTTGAAAACAACTTCTAGCTTATATGGAAATAGTTTGACTTTATTTTATCTTGTTATAGAAATAGTTTATACGTAAATACTTAAATGATAAGCAAACTTTTTTGGACTTGACCTAAGCATGCGCGAGTCGTTTTTGAAAATAACTTGTAACATATGTTTACAAGTTGTTTTTAGCTTATTTCCACAAGTTCTCCAAGATAGTTTATGAAAACAACTTCTAGCTTTTATGGAAATAGTTTGACTTTATTTTATCTTTTGTTAAAGAAATAGTTTATACATAAATAGTTAAATAGTAACGAAGTTGTTTATACAAACTGGATCTTACTTTGAGCTAGAATGTTTTAATGCATTTGGGTATTTTGAAACATAAAGTATTGAGATTTTTTTTTTCTTTAATCATAAATCTTATTAAGAAACATCTTGAGATTAACGATTTGGATAGAAACTTGGTTTTGGATAGAATATTATGGCGAAAGTTGATCCATGTAGCCAACCCCACTTAGTGGGATAAGACTTGGTTGTTGTTGTAATCACTAAGCCTCTGTTTGGAATCACGGTGGAAACAAAAGAAAACGCGCGTCTATTGGAAGCTAACTTTTGTAGCTTCTTTATTTCCACGTTACAAATCAATGGCCACCGTGATTTTATTAAAGCAAACGTGAAACCAAACACTCTATAAATCTTAGTCTGAGTAGTCTTTAAAGTTTTGGTTTGATCTTCACAGAGTGAGCTTCCATTGGTTGGAAATGTAGCACCCGATTTTGAAGCAGAGGCTGTTTTTGATCAAGAGTTTATCAAGGTACGCCGCCACCAATCTGAGTGAATATGGATACTGATTATTAATGGCTTAAAATGTTTTTTTTTATTTTAATTTTTATTATTTGGTTATTTTTGAGTAATTGCTATTGGAAGTTTTCATGTTTGATTGGCTAAAGCATTGTTATTCCAGGTCAAACTCTCTGACTATATTGGCAAGAAGTATGTTATCCTATTTTTCTATCCATTGGACTTCACCTTTGTTTGTCCAACAGGTTGGTTAGTCAGGTTGATCTAGTTTTGCATTTAAATTTCTTCCTGTAACTTCCTAACGATAACACCTGCTACTTGAATGCAGAAATCACTGCTTTCAGTGACCGACATGCAGAGTTTGAAGCAATAAACACTGAGATTTTGGGTGTTTCAGTTGACAGTGTGGTGCGTTGGTTTACACTGTTGCTTTTATTATTACTCTTGATACTGTTTAAGGAGGGATAAACCATAAGGTTAAGAGTTCATACGTATCATGTTTTCATGTCTCTGAATACTTGCTGAATTGAATAAGAGTATTGTCAGAGGAAATTGCTTTATATAAGTAATGAAAAAAGGAAAAATATAAATAGACTCTTCATTGAAACATAGATAATACAAATATTTATTTTATTGGTATACAATTCTTCTTAAGTAATGTGATTTATAGTATTTGTAAACTAATAATGCACACAACCTTTACATAGAACTCTAGGATACTCTTACATGCTGAGTGCTGACTCATGCCTTTAAAAAACAAGGCTCTTTGTGTTAGTATCTAATAGGTTCTTTATGTTCTTATGGCTTTGACATAACCTCTGTAACGGTGTTTCAAGCATTTTATTTATTTATTAGTGATGCTATTTTGTTTTTTTTTTTGCGTGTGTAGTTCTCGCACCTTGCATGGGTTCAATCAGATAGAAAGTCAGGTGGCCTCGGTGACTTGAATTATCCTCTGGTTTCTGATATCACCAAATCCATATCAGAATCTTATGGTGTTCTCATTCCTGATCAGGTGTATATTCTGACATGAAAATGGTGTTACTTATGTATGCAATGTCATTTCATTATTCCGAACTTGTGTCATAATGGACCAAAAAACATCCAATGATGCAGGGAATTGCATTGAGAGGACTGTTCATTATCGACAAGGAAGGAGTTATTCAACATTCTACCATCAACAACTTGGGAATTGGTAGAAGTGTCGATGAGACAAAGAGAACACTCCAGGTGATGATTATGCAACTAATTAGGACTTAATAAAGATTGAACAATATTCTTCTATATCCGATCCAAGAGTACATAATTTCATTGTTCCTTTGTTTTGCATTGTTCCTTTGTTTTGCATTGTTCTTGCAGGCCCTGCAGTATGTACAAGAGAACCCAGATGAAGTCTGCCCTGCTGGATGGAAGCCCGGGGAGAAATCCATGAAACCAGACCCCAAACTTAGCAAAGATTACTTTGCTGCGGTGTAATGTGAATAGCAGTTAAGAGTAGCCACGCTCATCTGTGTCAATTTGAGTTATAAAAGAGTGTTATGTAATAGTATTTCAAATCTCAAGGTGGTAGTAATTTTATGCTGGTGCACTGGTTTTTTTTTGTTTTTTTTTTGGCTTTTGTGTACTGGGTTTTGTATTGTATTATGTATTGATAATTTGCAATTTATTTTGATTATGGTGTCTGTATGATCGTAATCGTGTGTGATGTATACCTTTTGTCAAGTCTACTATCAATCCCTTGCAAAATGGTATAAAATTGGAAACTATCACTTTGGTAAAATGAAATTTAGAAGCTAAATAATTAAGTTTGTAAGTATGAAAGAAAAAAGTTTGAACAATAAATTCAAATGTCTCAACAAAAGCAGTTTTTACAAATTCTTGAACTCATTCAACTTAACACGTATGAATGTTTATCCTAGCAGTTTTAAAAGTATGATTAGGGGTGTGCATGGTTACTATATATTGTGATTCAATCTACTTTTGTGGTTATGGTTTACAAACCAAACCATTAATCACAAAAACTGATTTAAAAAACATAATTAGTTTCAAACCGGTTTTTAACCGGTTTAAAACCAATTTTAATTTTAATCTAAATTATTTAAATATAATTTAATCTATATTCAATTCTTTTAATTAATAAAATTTTAAAATTAATTCAGTACTAATTTTTTTAAACATTAATAAAGCACATCCTTAATTTAATTTTAAGTAGATTTTAAAAAATTGTTGTTGTCGTATTACAATTTTTGTAATTTCGGTCGATAGAGGTGTTACGACATTGATTGTGTTCGTCGCAATGTAAATTATTAATTATAATTGGTTTTTTTAATATAAAACGGATATAACAGTATCGATATTAACATATGTCCAAAATATTTTGTCACAGTCGTTCTCACGGTCACAAAGCATTTTTTAAAACCTTTTTATGTTTAAATGATCCTTTTTGTTTTATCAATCTTAAAAGAAAAATCAATTAATACTGAGATAGTATTAATTAATTCAGTGTGCACATTCGTTTTCTTATATAAAGTATATGTATATTGAATGAAAAGAGATCAAGTTCAAACAAATTTGTTTCAAATTTAAATTTGTCTTCTAAAGTGATAATAATATATCTTGCTTTTTAAATGTTTAGTATACTATATCTTTCAATTTATTTGAGAGTGTTTGCATATTTTTTAACTATAATTAAACATTTTTATATTTATTTAATAACTAGTCATTTGAAATAAAGTGTTAAACATCATTCAATTTTTATGAAAATGTGTAGAACTTATTTTCTTGAGAAAGTGTGAAAATTGGAAAGCAGGAAAATTTGATGAGAAAGAAATTTGGATACCCAATAACCATTTTATGGGTACCGGTTTACCACTTTGACCATAGATGGACCACCAAATCCAATATTTAACATTTGGATTGGGTTTTAATAAATGGAACAATTTGGATATGAATTTGGTTATCAGTAACCAATTTTTTTGCACACCCCTAAGTATGATAGATGTTTTTGTCAAAAAAAAAAAAAGATAGATGTTGGGACCATTAATTGTGACCGATTATAAATATCAAATATTATCATGGAATGTATAAACCGTGTGTGTTAGTGTGTCATGTCAACTCCAAATTTATACTCTCTTCATTTCTTTTTTCATTCCTTTTTAGATAAGGAATACCTTTTTAGATTTTTTGTTTGTTTATAGTATTGATTGAAGTTTTGTTAAAATTACTCCTAATCATTATTACATAGAGAAGAAAGAAGGTACTATGAGGTTATATGTGGATTATAGACAATTGAATAAAGTGACTATCAAGAATAAATATCTACTTCCGTGGATTGATAATTTGATGGATCAGTTGGTGGGTGCTTGTGTTTTTAGTAGATTTGAGGTCTGAGTATCATCAGATTCGTGTGAAGGCTGAAGATATTCAGAAGACTGTTTTTAGAACAAGGTATAATCATTATGAGTATTCTGTGATGTCGTTCGGTGTGACCAATACATCTGGTGTATTTATGAAATACATGAACATGATTTTTCATCAGTATTTGGGTAAGTTTGTTGTTGTTTTTATCGATGCTATTTTGATCTATTCAAAGAGTGAAGAGGATCATGCTGAGCATACGAGGATTATGCTATCTGTGTTGAAAGAGAAGTAGTTGTATGTTAAGTTTTCTAAGTGTGAGTTCTGGTTGAAGGAGGTGAATTTCCTTGGTCATGTGATATCAAGTTGTGGTATTGCTGATGATCCGTCAAAGATTGAGGATGTGTCTTAATGGGAAGCTCCGAAATCTATTTCTGAGATTAGAAATTTTCTTGGTTTAACAGGTTATTATCGAAATTTTATAGAAGGATTTTCCAAGTTAGCTTTATCGTTGACGCATTTGACTATGAAGGGTCAATCTTTTATTTGGACTGCACAGTGTGAAACTGATTTTCAAGAGCTTAAGAGAAGGTTGACTACCGCTCCTATTTTAATTTTGCCTAATCCGACATAACCATTTGTTGTGTATTGTGAGGCTTCGTTGATGGGTTTAAGAGGTGTGTTGATACATAATTGACAATTTGTAGCTTATGCTTCAAGGCAACTTAAAGTGCATGAAACAAATTATCCGACTCATGATTTGGAGTTAGCTGATGTTGTGTTTGTATTAAAACTTTGGAGACATTATTTGTTTGGATCTAGAATTGATGTGTTTAGTGATCACTATTGCTTCTTCTTACATATACTCCATGTTCAATTGTGCACTTCATAAATTCCATCTCCCTTAGAAAACTATCAATCTTCTTATTCCAAGCTCTTAGAGCTTATTTCAAACCATACAGGGCTTTATGCAGCTTGTACACCTTTCTCTCTTCGTCATGTTTCACAAACCCAACTGGTTGTTAAACATAAAATTCTTTGTCTAAGGGTCCATTCAGGAATGCACACTTCATGTCCATCTGACATATGTGCTAACTGTCAATTTCTGCTAGACTAACAACCAATCTGATTGTTTCGATTCTAGCCATAGGTGAAAAAAATTCATCGAAGTCTATTCCTTTCTTCTGAAGAAACCCTTTCGCCACAAGCCTTACTGTGTGTCGAGTTACTTCCCCTTTAGGATTCAACTTTACTTTGTATACCCACTTGACATCAATTGCCTTCTTTCCTTGAGGCTATTTGACAAGTGACCAAGTGTTGTTGTCTTTGATGGATTTCACCTCTTCGTTCATTGCTTTCACCCACTTCAAATCTTTCAATGCTTCAGCTGCATTGGCAGGTTCGATATCTGTATAGAAAGTATAATGCACCAGCTCACCATTGTTATCAACCACATTATCTGATGTAATAACACAATCTTGCAACCTTGCAGGCATGTGTCTTTTTCTTTGAGGTCTGCTAGTACTTAGTTGATCTCTAACCTCCTCTTGTCTAACTTCCTCTTTTCGAACTTCCTTTTCGACTTGAGTTTTTGGTTCTTCAAGTAAGATTCTCACTGAATCTTTCTTGACATTTTCAGCCCAACTCCATTCTTTAAGATCATATATGATCACGTCCCTGTTGATCACAATCTGCTTGTTCACTGGGTCGAACAATTTGTAACCTCCTTCCAAATGATATCCTACTAAGATCATCTGACTCGACTTATCATCAAGTTTTCTTCTCAACTGACCTGGCACATGTCTATGTGCAATAAATCCAAATATCATCAAATGACTCAAGCTATGCTTCACACCAGACCAATATTCTTCTGGAGTAATTCCTTCTAGCTTCTTCGTAGGACATCTGCTCAAAATATATGTTGCAGTTGACACAGATTAACCCTAAAACTCTTTAGGTAAATGCCTGAATTTCAACATACTTCTCACCATATTCATGATGGTTTGATTCTTTCTTTCTGCAGTTCCATTCTGCTATAGAGTGTAGGGTGGAACCACCTCATGCACAATCCCATCTTTCTTACATAACTTGTCGAAGTCTTTCGACACACGTTCTCCACCACCACCAGTTCTAAAAAATTTGAGCTTTCGAGCATTTTGTCTTTCGACCATAGACTTAAACTTGACAAATACCTCAATCACTTCACTTTTCTTCTTGATCAGGTAATTCCATAGTTTTCGACTATAATCATCTTTGAACGTGACAAAGTATTTGTTACCTTCAAATGAATCCACATGGATTGGTCCACATACATCAGAGTATATGACTTCGAGGACAACCTTCAACTTGCTTTCTGCATCCTTGCTGAAGCTATTCTTGTGCTGCTTTGCCTGCACACATTCCTCACAAACCTCGTTTGGAATGTCGATTTCTGGAAATCCTGAAACCATATTTCTTCTCTTCAAATCTCTGATGTCTCTGAAGTTGATATGGCTAAGTCGATAATGTCATATCCACTCATCTCTACTAGCTGCAGTCGAAAGGCACTGATGCTCCATCCCATTAAGTTTGATCTTGAAAGTTCTATTATGAGACATATGAGCTTTCAAGATCAACCTTCCATTTGCGTCGACGACTCTCATCATCTTGTCTTTGACCAACACTTTGTAATTCTTTTCAACCAACTTCCCTATGCTGAGCAAGTTTATCTTCATGTCTGGTATGTACAACACATTGGAAATTACTGACCTTTTTCCACCTTTCCTCATAATTAAAACATCTCCAATACCTTTAGCTGCTAGAGTGTTGTCGTTTGCGAATTTCACTGTGTTCTTCGTTGAGAGTTTTAAGTTGACAAACCAATCTTTCCTTCCATACATGTGTGACGAGCATCCTGAATCCAAGTACCATTGATCCTTAAATTTTTCTTCATCTCTTGTTGTAACCATCAGCAACAAGTCCTCTTCTTCACACTTTACGAAATTTGCATCACTTTCTTGATTCTTTCACTTTTCTGAATAATCACTCAAATAGAGACCATACTTCTGACAATTGAAACACTGAATGTGATTCTTGTTAGATTTTGGACCACCATCTCTTCCTTTATTTGCAACACCACC